CAATTTGTAGATTACATGCTTCATTTTCTGTTTAATCATTATGCTCAGAGCTTTTTTGTTGTGTTGGATGTATTCAAATTYGTTGTTAATAAGTGCATTGTTATTTTAGACTAGATCAGAAATAATTTAACATATTTGATAGTTTTGGAGTAATAAATACTACAAAAACCTGAAAATGTCTTTAAATTTGGTGTAAAAACTTTATAAAATAATGTATTTTTAAATGAAGAATGACAGATTTCTTACCCGTTTTCTAGTGAATATTGAAACAGACTTTCATTTTATGAAATCAGCCAGATACATGACTAATCAGACTTAAACTGAGTGTTGCAAAASCTGAACAATGAAAGCATTTGAAACTAAGGAACTGAGTTCTTGCATTTTTAGTTACTTTGTGGGTAGCATGTGAACACAATTCATGGGAAATTTTTGTTTGCTCAGAAATAAGCCAACCAGTTTTTAGTACCAAGGATCAAAAAGAGAACCAGTGGAAACAAGATCATTTCAGTATCCATGTTTGAACTGGAGTCTGGCAGTTTGCTGCATGYATGGGCAGAGTTTATGCAGTCTGTGACATGACTGAATTTAATTGAGGCCTATCTAGACCACTGTTGCTCCTCCTGTGACTCCAAGTGGCACAAAGGACAGTAAGGAAAAATCASTTGTGTACTTTAATGCTTAGCTTGGGGCTCTTGGAAGTGAGGAAGCTTTAACCAGCAGAATCAGTTGCAGAAGGTGAGAAAGTTAAACAGGGATTTGAACCTCAAATTGCAAGAAATATGGGTAGGATTTGAGGAAGGATGCCAAACTATGAGGGTGATAGAGGACTGGAGAGAAACAAAAACACAGTTAGGAGATTAGGGCTGTAAGATAGGAATGGAAGCTGAATARGCTATGAATGTAGATGACAAGAAAAACAGATGCCTTGGGTATAAAGAATGAAAATGGAATTTGAATTCAAAAGACATCTGGGCTGGTGCTGGGTCTGAGAGGGAGAAGGGCAGGAACATTAAAGGACATGTTGGGGCTGGCAGTGGGAGGTTAGAGAGAAAAGGCCACGTTAGGGAGAAAATGTCTGTAGCATTTAGGTTTCTTTGCAAATTTGGCACTGAACCAAAGCACAGAYATTTGTACAAATATGAGAGTATATTCTAATTGCTTTAAAGATCTTAGATTTGGACCTGACCCAAATKGGGACTCGGGATGATTTCACAACTTACAGGGTTTTTTTTTTTCCATTTTTAAACTTTCTAAAATATATCTCACAAAGCTTTAGGTTGGTATAATAAGGTTTACAAAATTGGAAAGGGTTTGTGTTTTGTATCATTTTAGTAGGGCTTCCTTTGGAAGATACATTTTTTAAACTTACTTGCTTGGCATTCTTTCTTATTAACAAGTTTCATAGTAGGATTTGCCACTTCTTGAAAGGTTAATTTTACAAATTTATTGTCTTCTAATGTACTTCATTGTTCAATTACCTTTTTAAGGAGTACTGCTGTGCTTGTCAAGTATTGTAGATGGGTGGTTTATAGTTCCTCCATTCAAAAAACCAGTTGGTTGCCTTATTTTCTTCAGTATACAGACTACATGATTCTACMATGAAATCTTTTCATTTGCTCTCAATATATGCATGTTTTGACAAGTTATYATGTCATTATCCACTACTTGAAAAACAAGCTCCTCTGAAAAATCTTTCAAACCATACAAAAGAGAGTTCAAGTCCCTCTATGAGTATTCCCTCTTCTCTTTTACTCTAGAAATAATCTTTTTATAACCATTGTGTCATTGCTTTAGGAAACTTCATTGATGGGTCAGCCTAATGGCACAGAGACACAAAGGAATTGTGACTTCATTTTAGATGATTCTTACATGAGAGATGTTTTCATTGTCTCAGTCCGTAATTTCCCTTTCATTCTCTGCCCTCATTCTTCTGTGAGACTAAATACTCTTTCATTAYATCAAGTTTGCTAAAATTTCTTGATGGGAGAAAAATCCTGCAGACCCACATTCCAAGGTGGTTGGTTTTTTTTTTCCATAATAGTAATATTAAAGCGTAGGGTGGTTTTGTTTTCTTTTGTTTTCCCTTAGAGACCATCTAGGCAGATAAAGGAATGTATTTCAGCACATTCTGTTACCTGACTCTATGCACACATGCACATACACTTGTGCTGAAATAGTAGCCAAGAAAGCAGAGATACTATCTGGCTGAGTAAAAGCAAATATGACAAAGAAACTGTGAATGGTGCTATGGTGGAGGAGTCACTAGTGACATCAACAGTGTAGCAAGGTTAAAAGAAAACTGACCCCTTATAACCTTGCCAGTGCAAAACAGATCAACAGTCATGKAAGCTATTTCAAATTTCCAAAACAAAATACAAAATTTCTTTCGGAAGTTACTGCTCATGATTGAGTTGAGAAGCATGTTCTGGAAGTGGCCAGTAGGCTGAGTAGAAGCATCAGAGAACTACAGACTTTCTCTACTACCTAGAAAGTAGGTTCGGAGAAATATGGATTGGCTCTGTTCATGCATGTTTCCAGTGTGTAAACCTAGAACAATACAGATCACTGAAGCTCAGAGTGGATGAAGGTCTGAAACTGTGTACAGGAAGGCATTGCCATTTCTTTTGTGTTGAGGCGGAAGGTGAGAATTTGTTGTTGAGAGTSCATAAACATAACTAATAATTAAATTAAATCTGTGTGTTTCATCACATGGTTGGCTGAATGACTTGTGTCTTCATGAATGTTTAACTCATTTTAGAGCAAAGCATTCTTCCCAGGATTGCAAACAATATGTATATCAGAACAGATTTAGTGTCATGTCTGCAACCAATCATGTACGAAGTGTGGAGAATTCAAGAGTGCTGATTTTTTTTTTTTTGTTGTTTTTGGTTTTTTTGTTTTTTTTACATGGTGAAATGAAAACAGGAGCATACAGTCAGGAAGCAGTGATGAAATACTTAAACTATCAGCACTTGAAAAGCACCCTTTGTTTGAGAGCAAATGTCATACTATTAAAAAAGGAAAATAATTTTTAAAAGAAAAACTTCTCATGAGCTCAGTAAGCAGAACTTCCAACCTCTTCTCATACAGCCAGTGAGGAAACAATCTTTTTCCTGCGCCGGACTATTTACACACACATGGATGTGTGTCTATATGTCTATAGAGTGATTATCTGGGGCATTATAATGACACCTGTTGATTCTGTTCAAATTAATTACAGTGAAAATTGCTTCCTCTTTGTGCCTTAGAAGCATTCCTCCATCTGAAATCTTAAGGGAAAATATTTGAAGTAATCCCCTTGTTTTTTGTTAAACACTCTCCATCCCACCTAAAAATCAGGTGCTAAATAGGATAGAATTGTGTTGCRACTTCTATTTCACCAATGACAGCTAACAACAGCCTTGCTGGGTTAGAATAAATGTTCATCTGGCAATCCTGCAATTTGTTATGAAGTGGCTTCAGTGTGAGAAGTACCATATTGCATTTAATGGTTCTCAAAGGACTTTTTTSCTGCAAGTTGAGTGTTGTCACAAATAAGTGTTAATTTTTAGTATTCACAGTATTCACAACATCTTATGATAAGGAATTTCACAGCTTTCTTGTATTAAAAGCAATTTATATTTGTTTTCATTCTRCATCATTAGATGACTTCTCATTCATCTATTGGAAAATACAGTGGATTCTTGTCTTCCTTCTCCATTCCACTCATGATATGACAGGCCCCTTATTTCTTCCTTTTCCTTAARCCATCTCTTTTCCAAGCTGTAGAGTCCTAGTTTGCTTAAGTGATTCATTCCACATGGTGCAGTTGTGTAAGTGTGTGATGTAGTTGGATGTCAAAGGTCTTCCTTCCTACCCTTSTCTGTTGCTCTGCCACTTCTGTTCCTTGTGAGGTGAGGTACTAGAATGGTTGTCAGCATTCAGTAATGCAGGCAACAACATGGAATTGCAAAGGGACACCGTGAGTTTTCTGTTCTTTATTTCTTTCACAATAATTTCCAAAATTTTTGTTTTGACCATTATTTAAAATTGAATCAAAGTTTTAAAGGATTTATCTAGTATAATGAAACCCAAGAAATTAAATCAGTCAGCTAGAAGCTCATCATTTTATGTATATGCTCAGGAGTATTTTTAAAACCTGTGATTTACTTCACATATATATCTCCTCCCTTAATATGTTACTTAATGCCAAGATGCATGAGGTTTTCTCCTGTTCTTCACATCACCCGAATTTTCAACTATCCAATAATTTAGTATTCCATCAGCAAACGTTTTTATGCCTCATATTTGAGATTGCCTGTTAAGTATAATGAATGAGTAAAATAGGTGAGGTCCACTTCTAAGTGGAATATTATTTGTCACTTATCACCTTACAGTAATTTTCTCAAAATTATAGTTCATTTCTGCTGTTTGAGAAGGATCTGTGATTCTGAGTGACTGTGGAAATTAGTACACCACTGTGGTCTGACTTTTCTTCATATGTTTGGGTATGGAAAAATGCAAGTGGAACTGATAAGCTATGATATCTCACAGGATGCACCACTGATATCACTGATGTCGRTACCACCTCTCCCTAGCACATGTAACACATGGGGATGAAGAGGGGTGRCAATATTTCATTGGTGTCTCTTCCATGAAAAGACTTCAGTGCATACATTTGTGTACTAAAAGATTCACATTGATCTAACACTTTAAAAAGAGGAAAAAAAGTACACTGTAAGGTCATTGTCATTTGATTYTACATTAACAACATATGTAGAAAASCCGTAGACTGTTTTCTGTGCACTGTGTTGTGTGGTGATTATAATACTGAATTTTCCTAATGATGTTTCAAATACAGGTTACAGTATTTGCTTAGATAACCATCCTAATACCTATTAAAGTCTTCAAAATACTGTGTTAATTTTTGAAATTTGTACCTATAGTAAACAGAAGTAGCATATATTCKAAGTTTGTTTATTTTTGAAACATCAAAACTTACTGTTTCATTTTTCTTCCAGGTATAGACAAATGCAACTTGGCACAGAAAGCAAAGTAGCTGAACTTCTTCACCAAAGTAAGTTAAAGTCCTTCGAAACTGAACATGTTCAACTCATGCAACAAGAAACAGCTAAGAATCTTTCACAGTGCCAAATGGAATGTGAGAAATACCAGAGGAAGCTGGAGGTATGTTGTATAAATAGACACTTTATGGGACATTAGTTGTTTTCAATTGTAATGTAAAGTAGAAAAGCTTGGGGAAAAAGTAACAACATGGCATGGCTGAATTAATATCTCCACCAAATTGTGCAGAARCAGGGTCAAATGACAAAGCTTACTAAGATCAATCTGTCAAACAAGACCATGGGGAGAGGAAACAGCAAAACAGTACCTCATTCATGTGAAGTGTATATATCTGTTTGTGTCACAGAGTTGCTTATGTCAGTCTATSTGAGGACTCTAGGGAGAGAATAGTTTCAGCAGAACAAGTCCGATGAATTCAGTATCATTATTTACAGCTGGGATCTGTAATAGCATTGTTACATAATAAAATACTTTTTATTGATACACGATTGTGGAATAAATTTTTACAGCTAAAAAGTCAAGGGGAGCAGGGTGTATACAGCTTTGAAAAGACTTAACCTTGCTAGTCCTAGGATGATGGGTTACCTTGGTGGGGTGCCTGACATGCCCCCAGTCACTCATTCCTCCTCCTGAAAGGATGGGGCTGAGGCAAATRAGCTTTATTAAGAGTATGGGTTGATGTAAAGATAGGGAGATCACTTGACAATTACCATCATGGGCAAAATAGATTTGACTTGGGGAAAATTAATTTCATTTACTACCAATTGACATAGGTTTGGATGGTGAGAAGCAAAGACAAAAAGTGAAACATCTTTCCCCACCCCATTCTGTTTTATTTTATCTTCCCTCCTTAATTTCTGACTCTTCTATCTCCTTCCAGAGCAGTACAGGGAGGAATGGGGAATAAGGGTTTGAGTCAGTCCATAACAGTTCCTCTCTGATAGTATTTCCTGCTCACACTTATTATTCTTCTCCACTGTGCATCCTCCATGGACTGCTGCTTCCTCCAGGAGAAGATCTCCTGTCTGGGCTCTCCATAGCTTACAGTGCCTTCTAGGKTTGTYCACCTGCTCCATCATGGGGTCCTGCAGTCTGCAGTGTKCACATCTGCTTTGGTGTGGTCKTTGATGATCYRCAGRTGGGCARCCTGCTTCACCATGGGCTGCAAGGGGGTCTCTGCTCTAGCACCTGGAGCACCTCCTCCCCTCCTTCTCTCACCTCAGTGTCAGCACCATGGCTATTTCTCATTTTTTTCCCTCAGTCCTCACTGCCATGCATCATTTTTGTCCTTCAATAAATACGGTTTCCTTGAGGTGCAGACCCCYTGGCTGAGGGACACAGCCTGGGTATCTGCAGCTAATACACCTGTTTATGTGACCTTTAACCACTTGGGCCTGTTTATCTCTACAAGCCTAGAATTTATTATCTTTCAAGCATATGTATCATATCTTGTTCACTTACTTGAGTGTTGGAAATGTGAGTGTTCCACAGAGAAAACTTACTTTTAAACAAAGTTTCTTCACTAATCCAAAATTAGTCCCAAAGTCATATCACAGAGTCCAGTTTATGAGATTTGAATGAGATTGGCAGTGTGTATTTCAAACAAACATCAGGATACAAACTGGACAGGACAGAAGAAAGTGACATCTATGACAGACTTTGTTTTTTGGGGAAGGATGCCAGTCCTCAGGTCCCCACATTTTAGTACTGAATCTGCCTAAGTTGTTCATGAGGAGGAACTATACAGTGGAAACAGAATTAGAGTTTCAGATAGGCTAATTTTTTGTTTTCTCCGTGTTGGGACATTCAGATCCTGGCTGATGAGGTTAGTTGTGGTCACTAGCACAGGGAGTGCCAGTTTTGCTAAACTTTGAGGTTGCTAATCAGATTTTTAATTGCACAGACATGTCTCAACTTGGAGAATGTAATTCAATTTGAGTTATATTATCATTTTCTTCGTGGAAATTTTTTGATCCGATAATGAATATTTGGCATTCAAATCTACTAATGCTTTTGGCTCTTTTTTTTCTCTAAGAGAGACACTTTTAAACGCTTTCATTAAGAAATATGCACTTGAGTGCCCTTTCCTTAGGAAATATTCTTGCAGAATTTCAATATTTGATGTCAGAAGCTTTTACTTTTRTTCCTTTTGACTCAGTTCTTGGGTTTTTTTTTATTTTCTTTCTTATATGGAGCATTCATGTACTAAGATTTTATTTCTTGCCCTTACAGGACATTGATCTTTATTAATAGTGTAGGCACTGGATCTTGTGGCTCAGCTACAGCCGTTGGGACTAACTCTTGCTTTTACTTAGGACACAGAGTAGTTTCTCTTGCTAAACTAGGAAACAGATGGTTTCTATGTTGCCCAGTTTTAACCTATACGTGTATTTCTTCTGTGACACTAGACAGAGCTTTTTATATTTTCAAGTGGCTTGTTTCTCTAAGCATTGTGTATTTTTTAGTGGTTTTGACAGTGACTCTGGTATTAGTGCTCTGCACACTGTGCATATATTCTGTATCTCAGAATCTGTTTTCACTTGTCATTCTGTTTGTGATTTTTACTTAGGAAGTTAGTRTGGAATTTAACAGCAGTGCCATGTGGTGATTTCCTGTTTTGGTGGGATTTTTTCTGTAAAGTATGTAGATTGCTACTTTACTTTATGAGGATTTTCTCATTCCAGTTTGGTGTGTATTTGTTTGGTCAATGTTGTTTCTTATTATCAAGCACTGTAACAAACCTTAGTTATTATACAAGCCTTCATAACTCCTACTTTTGAATATGAGTGGGTTTTTGCTTAACCATAGTGGATTAAGTATTTACMTTAGTCTTGAATGTTAATCGCATATCGCCTTTTCTTCATAACTAAGACTGGTATAGCTTTAATGCCAAATTTTTATATTTGCATTCTGCAAAGGAATCTTCTTTACATAAATTCACTACTGAAATTTGAATCTCATTAAAGCAACAAGAATAATTGCRTTTATATTATTTTGAATGCTGTATGTGATTTTTTTTTAGCTTTTACCTGGCTTATTCTAACCTTACTTTAAAATTTTTGTAACTTTTTCAGACAGCTTCTTAAAAGATAGGCCTAACACCTGAGAGTTTAATCTGTTYAATGTAATGTTATTGAAAGAATAACTGCTTTTTAAAATGTTTTAAACATTGCTGTGCAAAATTTACATCTAATATTTAATGTCATACTGCTACACATTTTACATGTATTATATTTTGCCTCTTTCAAAAAAAAGCTGTAATGATGAATTCRTGATCTTTCTGTTATTCATTCTCACAGGTGCTTACGAAGGAATTTTATAGTCTTCAGTCATCGAGTGAAGCCCGCATTATTGAGCTCCAAACACAGAATTCTGAGTTTCAAGCAAGACTAGATACTTACGAGAAACTTGAAAAAGAGCTTGATGAGATAATACTGCAGACAGCAGAAAGTAAGTTCTGTCACAAATTATGCTGTATCTGTAGGTGTTTCTGGCATTATGATACCTTTTTTCTCATGGCTCTTGGAAAGTATTACAGTGCCTGTCATTCTTCKTCATTATGCCTGACAAGTAAAAGGCAGCAATTATTTTGATAGAAAATATCAATGGCAGGTTTCTAAATGTACCTGTGAATGTGTATCAGACATCAATATGTCTGTGTTTATTAAAAGTCATCTCAGGATTCTGTCATTTCTCTTTTCATTATTCTAATAATCCATTATAATTGGATATAGTATTTAGAATTCTTCTATTATTTAAGCACATTTTAAATGTCAAGAAGCCCTCTTTGTTGACAGGCAAATACAGGTTTTATATTACAGTACACTGATTAATGTGAATTTTTTAACTAATTGGAGGGAGAGAAAWGTTCTTCCTTCTGTTGAATTAATAATAATTAGACATTAAGTGGTTGCTTGTGGCAGCTTGGTCTGTTCCAAGCACTTAACCATGGATTAAGTTCATACCTGATTACTCCTGAAAATTTTTGTCTCTCATTAGCAAAAATTAAAATGTTCTCAAACACAGCAGAAGTTCTGTAAAATCTCTATTCATTTGATTCTCAACCTAAATCAATCCACTAGGCAAGTAATTTCTAATTGGAAATTATGATTCTAATGTTGAAATCTTCTAGCCTATGCATAAACGGAGTACGACATTCTAAGAGTTCAGTCTAATCCAACTGTCTTCTTCCCCTTTCTTTATCTTTGCTCCTCCAGAAAATAGTCACAATTTATAAAGTTTTCCAGATAGAAGATTATTGCGTAGGCTTTATGTATAAACAATAATGTATAGGAAAGTGTTCATTACCAAGATGCAGTGATGTTGGGTCATCTTCAGTTAATGAGATTGCACATACTTTATTAATTTTGTACACTGCAGCCCATRCTTAGAATGGCCTGACTACGCAAAGGTCCAGTCTGACCGTAAGCATGTTTGCTGTGTACACGCTTCTGTTGTAGTCAGTAACATGTTTTTWTTAAGTGTGTATATATAAAAGCTTGCCTAAGGAGTAATTTATKTGTTAATACAGAATTTTTGGACCTTACCTTCATTTTCTCCAAGGAGAAGGTAGAGTTCAGAATACTTTTCTGTTTACACTGGTTTGCATTTTCTTACACATCTTGGGACTACAGTAAAGTTTTTTACTAGATCATTCTTAACTTCTTCTTACGTATTTTTTTCTATTACAATTTACATTGTATGCTACAGAATTCTAAAGAAAGGAAAGTTTTCAAATGAACCAATCTCTTAAAATATGACTTTATTTTCTGATTTCTTTGGAGAAAAAAGGGGGTTACAGCTTATTATTATTTCAGTGTACTTTCTATTTAATAATGAGTTTGCTGTTACTATGGTGTATTTGATATAGAAAATTAAAATTAATACTAGTTAAGTCTTGTATCTTAGGAAAAACAGAAGAAAAAAGACTATTAAAAAAAAAAAAAACACTTTGAAGGAGAAGACAAATACTTTCTCCTCTGTCTCAAATTATGTCCTGATAGTTACACGTCATAAATAGCTAAAGGTAGAAAAATACTTGAAAGGAAATGTAATTATTTTTCAAATTGAATGTGTTATGGAAATACTCCAGTTTGTCTTTTCGGGGAATATAATTTAGACTGAAGCATTGTGTGGAAGACAATTARAGTTTTCTACAACCTTTAGTGGTAATAAGGATTAATCTTCATTCCTGTGGTSAGCTCTTTATATTTAAAGAGCATATAATGTTTTTTCCTGCATCCTGAGTCATGAAGCCTTTGCTGTTTTATCGTGTTTGGGGATGTCAGTAGGGGTTGGGTTCTCCGGACTTTTTAATAAACTGTGCATTTATTTACACATGTGACAAGGATTTTGTCATATAATATATAAATTATATTTTAAAATATATATATAAACATTTTACTTTCTCTTTTAGAAAATATGCATGTGGAAGATATCACTGAATTTTTACTGTTACTCTCCAGTCATTGTCACTTGCTGTATTAAAATTGAAATGACATCAAACTGCTGTACAGGAAGCTATCAAGAATTTATATAGCCACTTCTAGCAGTGCCTGAGAGGTTTCCACATGAATAACAATAGTAAACTTTCTTTGCATTTATCTGTTCTTCCTTTTAAGAGTAAAATTTTCACATTAGGGTGTTTTTGTTGTAGACTAGTTGTTTGATTTTTCTTGCTTCCATTGGTTAGTGTCTTTCTAAGAAAAAGATTGAACCTATCTGTATCCTCACAATGGTGTTTCTTTGCTGAGTAGCATATGTAACTGTCATTARTAAGTTTCCCCTAGCTTGTAAAATGTATATTTTACACCACAAAGTAAGGTGAAGAGCCTGGAATGTTGTAAGAGAAGTTCACACTGATACAGAACATTACTTTGATACCTACAACATTTCCAGTTGTTTTTATCTTCATCTTTGTGATGACATGTACTGGACACTGCTCACAGATCTGGATTTACAGGACAGGATCTTATGTAAGTTTTTCTGAGACATGTGACACTGAATATGTTACCAAAAAGAAGGGCATTAACAAAGGCAGGTTAAGTTATTCTTTTTTTTTTCTGAACCAGAGGTGTTTACAACCCTGAAAATTCCCTGTCATATTTAAGACAGCTCTGAAGTTCTGGTATCTTTGTAGTGCCACATTAGTAAACTTTTTCTGTCATACATACTGAAATTTCTATATTTTTAAAGTAACTAGATATGTGATTTATCACAGGTGCTCTTCTACAGGCTTTTCTCTTTCTAAATGTGTTTTAAGAATCCTTGTTTGAAATAGCATTACAAGGGTATTAGACAAGTGAGAACAGAGGCTATAGCATTTTGCAAGTTGTTGAGAAATGAAGGTATTTCTGATTTTGAGGCACTTGAGCATTAGGAAAGATGAGTCAGATAAGACTCACATCATTTCCTACATTTGTTTCTCCTGTTACCAACTATTTGATTCATTAGAGCTTTTGTGTGGTGTCTGGGCTGGTGTTCACTTGTTCTCCCTATTTCTCTCACACCCGTGCCACTCCCATTTTGTCTCATTGTCCCCCTTTACCCTTGCTCTTTGTCCCCCTTTCTCTGCCCCTGTCTACCTCACACATACACTTTCTACCTCACACATACACTTCTTTTTTCTTTTTTCTTTTTTTTTTTTCTGGCCCACTTCATCTTACAGGAGAGAGGAAACCTGAATTTTAGAACCAGAAATGTGAACATATGTATACATCTTAATCTTGCTGCTATTGGGATTTCTTTTCAAAGCAATTACAATGTGTTTAAATCCTTAGAAACATGTTTTCAGAAATCAATCACCTATGGAGGCAGAGATTATTTTTAATATTTCTACTTTGCATATACATATATTCTTTTTTGCCATTCTCTGAAGAAGTGGATGGCATTTGTTTGCATCAAGTGTGGTGAAATTTCTGATCACCACAGCCTTTCAAAAACAATTGTGAGCAGCCTGACATCAGCTCCCTTAGCAATATAAGATGTGTCCTGTCTGGTCTCATGGACTTGGTTATATCCTGTCACCTTAAACACTCCCTAATTTTATCTTCTTCTACATCCTTATGTATACATAGACAATTAATTCTTTAGATGAAAAACTTAAGCAACCTAACACTTTACTGCTGAATTAAACATACAATTAGTATCTATTTTGAGACCATACCAGTAGTATGGATATTCAAGCCCACTGAACTCTTTTCCTTTACATTCATCTTGCATAAGTCTTATGTTAATCATGAAAATAAAATGTGGCAAGTAATTAAAGTGGCACCATGTTTAATGCTAATGGTGAAAAAAAATTACTCCACTCAAGTCTAGAAGGTTGCACCAACTGAAAATTTAGCACCTAGAAAAATGTTTTTGCATGTTGAGTTGTAAATAGAATTGCTTAGAAGTTCATAAGTTCTGGCACTGTTCTTCAGCAGTACCTTTCTGCAATTTTTTGCAGTGGAAGATGAAGTTGAAGCTGAAAGGGTTCTCTTTTCATATGGGTATGGTGCTAATGTTCCTACAACAGCCAAAAGACGACTAAAGCAAAGGTAAAAAAACCTACCTTCATTAATTTACTTGTTCAAGGTAAACTAAATGAAGATACATGCATTATGTTTTGTTTTAGAATCAACCAGTCTGATTAACATAAAGAGGTTTTTTTAATGACTTAAGTATAACTAGGATCTATTAAATGGTTGCATATGAATGAGCATATACATATTTTTCTAGGTCATTTTAAGATCTCATTGACTTTCAGAAAGATTAATTACAATTGTATAAAACTAAGCAGCTGTAAAAACAGATTAGTTACATTGTTTACATTTATATAATAGGATATGTATTATTAATACCCTAAAATCATTGTATTTAATAGTAAGAAAAACATATCTGTCAGGATATTAAGGAGGACAACGGTTCTGAGCATCACTATTTTACCTTCACTAATACAGGCTCTGATTCCACTTACATTTTTTTTTGTTTGCTCTGGTTTGGCCAATTTGAAAATTTGATCAATAGATTAAAATGATACACAGGTGAAAAGCATACCTCTTGGTCATAGTCATTTTAAACTGATAAATTTATATTACGCATTGTCTTTAAGAAATAATAGTGACATTTGAATGGCTCATTGTGAGCCTGTGTATTGTGGCTGTGACTCACTTCTCCCACGCAACTGACAATGAGGTAAGAGGAAATCACTTCAGGTGGTGCCAGGRGGATTTAGGTTGGACATTTTCTTCACAGGAGGGGTTGTCAAGCATTGGAATAGGCTGCCCAGGAAGGTGGTGGAGTCACCATCCCTGAAAGGTGCCATGGTTTGGTTGTCAGTGTGGTGTTCAGTCTAAGGTGAGACTCGATCTTGGAGGTCTTTGCCAACCTTAATGGTTCTATGAATGTGGGTTTATTTAAAATGCTTTTGAACTGTGGCCATAGAGTTTGTTTTTCAAAATTAGGATGGTAGTTCTCGGATGTCCTGGTTTAGAAAAAATTTTAGGAGAAAACGCTCTGGAATGAATGTTTCCTCTAAAGAAAAGGGTTTCAGCAATCCCTTCACACTGACATGAATTTTCTGGATGAAAGTGAAAAAGCCTGTTTATTTAACAAACAAGGTGCCCACAGGGCACGGGAAAAAATTMATAACTGCTAGATATCGAACCTTCAGAACCTTACCTCCTCCTCCTGCCACACACACACACAGAGCAGAACAAACAAACCCAAAATGCCCAGGGAAAGGAAAAACTACCCAGCACATGGTGAAAAGTAACAAAATGGTGGATGGCTTCGTCTCAGAGAGGAGAGGAAAGTCYATGGAGGAGCTCAGGGGGTAAAAACCAGATGGGAGCCTGGTGAACCTCCGGTGTTGTCTCCTCCTCACTGCAGATGGAGCTGGTGGATTTAGAGCCCTTTATTTCATTCATTCAACTTCTCCCAAGGTCTGGGCTGAGATGGGGTGTCCCCGTTGCTTCCCCGCCAATCCGCGCTGACCAGCGCCCACCAAGGGTCTCATTCAGACCAAGAACCAAACTGAACCATCTAAGAAAAAACAACAGAAGCCACCAAATAATTGCTGCTACAGTCCTGGGAAGAACTTCTTGCCTAACCTAACAAAAACCAGGCTAGCCTAAGCAACAATACAGCCTCCAGTTGGCATGGCGAGCTGAGCACACGGGGAGTGAGAGCTTAAACAAAGCCCTCTGCAGAGCTCACTCAGTTCCCACCCATTCCTGGACTCACCTAGAAGCTGCAGGACCCATTTCTGTGCATAAAGCAGACAATAAGGAATAGAGTATCATCATAAAATCACCCCAAGACATAGGATTAGGTTTGTTTCATGCAATTTGAGTATGCCTACAATGTGCTCAAATACAGGAAAGTCAACTGCGTAATTTGTGCTAGTGATAGGCTTTGACCAAAAAGAGGTATTTCAAAATCATGGGCAGACACACCAAGAAGAGTATAAAGATGGGATAACTATGTATCATACCTTCACATTCAGAAGCTGTAATAGCAGGTTTTTGTCATTTACAGCTGCTTTTTACTGCAAGTATTATTTTGTTTAGTTGTTTTCATCTTCTTAACCCCTATCTTCTCCATAACAAAGTATGTTTAATGTCAAAAGTTACTAATCAGAACTAAGGGCAAATGATGGTTTGTTCATATTTTCAACAAGATTTATGGGCCACATACTATTTCTTCTGTCGCATATATTTTTTAAGTGTTGTYGATATGATTGTCAGTCAGATTAGACCTACTGTGCACTGAGTTGCATATTGCTAACAAGTATAAAGATTTTATATTTGTATGTAAGTAGTAGTATTACTTATCTAAGTAGTACTTAACTTTGGCATGACTTAATTTGCTCTTTCAAGCCTCTTCAGATTGTTTCCATGTCAGATTTCTCTTTATAATGCATAAAATTGAAGAACAAGAACAGACTGGGGATGAGGAACATGCAAAAAAACTGCCTAACCCTATTGTATGTCTGATTTAGAAAACTGTTGCGAGTTCTATAGCACCACTTCCTAAAGGTTCAGTTTATTCCTCCTTTGTAGTTTGGGCACTTTTCTGAGTTTCTGCTTAGATCCTTGTTTCCCTCCCCACCCTTGTTAGATTCAGTTTAGATTATTTGCATATATAAAAATTGTGTTAAATCTCCTTTGAATGCTGAATCTGATGATCAGGCCAGGATTTCAGGTATGCTTGGAAGACACCTTTTGAGCTTAGAAGCGCCTGTATAAGAATGACTCATATACTCCACTTTTGTTCCAAAAGGCATTGACTAATAAAACTGATTTAATCTTTCATTATAGTGTTGAGGGCTTCATAGACTTTCCTTATCTTTTAGAATTAAAATATTTAAAAAGCCATTAAATACTGTGTATGGTTTACCTGCTGTTTTGATTCGAGGAAAACTGCCATGCAGAATGTGTGTGATGCCTTTGGCTGCCAAATTTTTTAAAAGCAAAGACTCTGACACCATCCTCTGTGTTTAGCACCATTAAAGAAACACAGATAAGTTTTCTGCTCTCTAGGATTGCTTGAGGAAAGAGTCTGTTGTTCTCTCAATGTGAATGATCTTTCTGGAGTCCACTACCTGCTCTTTAGTTGCAGACTTACAGGATCTTAAATGAAGAGCTCTTTTAAGCTCGCATCATGCACTTCAGTCTCTGAAAATCTGTACAAAACCCACCTTGTCGAGTAGTGTGGGGTCTATACCTCTTTGCCGACTTGCCAGAAACTACTACTTCATTACTGTGGATGTGGGCATTGTGTACCCATAGTACTAAATTAAGTGTGCTTGGGAACACACTGATGCATCAAGACCAAATGGCCTGTAGTAGTCCGTTTCCATAAAACAATTCTTAATGATTTGCTTGCCCATGGTGATTTCTTAGCTATGCCTAGAAAATGTTTGGGAGTTGTTAATTACAGAATTCAGAATACTACCAGGATTACTCTGGTGATTTGCTAACAAAGAATTCTCACCTTCTTGAGCACCACGTAATTTTCTAGTATAGTTGGAATCAAATGTTTCCAGCATGGCTTTGCAGATCAGTCCCTTCGTCCCTTTGCTTTAAATTTACTAGTCAAAAGCTTACTGCCAGGTATACTTGAAAGATATACTTGTGTTATACTTAAATATTTGCAGATTCAGGTAAAGTTCACTGAATAGTTGTAGCAGGGAAAATTATCATGGGCTGCAGCTCTAAAGTTGCCATGGGAAGGTATCCAGGTTTTCTTTTCCCTTTCACTCTAATAGCTACTAGTCAAAGAAGTGATTCCTTTCTCTTTTGTACTCGATGAGATTTGTGCCTGAAAGAGTATGTTTGTAACGCAGGTGAAGAATATTAAGACTTCTGCCAAATCTAGAAGTCTATCCCATTTTACTGAGGAAGAGCTGGAGTTTATGATTGGTCTGATTTTCAGATAAACTTTGTACACTCAGTTTTATGTACTCTAACCCTGATCTTAAGGGTAAATTTACTCTCTCTGTCAGTCTGCTTTAAAGCACTTACCCTCTCACAGATTCAGTATCATGGTCAAGAATTGGTTGTGGAGTTACTCAAGTCCTGCCTGGATGTAATCCTGTGTGATGTGCTCTGGAGGCTGGACCAGATGAGCACTGTGGTCCCTTCCAACTTTGCCCATTCTGTGATTCAGAGGAGTTGGCAAGTCTAGGTTAGATGTCTGGTAGTAGGCTCTGCAGTGCATAATGAATCTTCCCATTGCTGCCTATGGATCTGTGCTCTTCAACTGATAATAAACTCTTTTGATTCTGGACATGAAGCATGCAAGAGGTTGAGGATCTAATTTTTTAACTAGGTTGTTTAGGTAACTCAATGATCATTTCTCTTCAAAGTTAATCTGTGACTCTACATAAGAGTTTATTTAAAACAAAACCAGCAATAACACTTATTTATTTAACATTAAATGTCAGACAAAACAATTTTGCATCTCTTTTGAAAATGATAAAATAATATTTTTCAGTGTTTTACTGCAAAATGTATATTAACGTGCATTTTAAAACAATTATTTAAGGTAGAAGTCAATTACAGTGATTCTGTAAAGTTGCTAAAAAGTAAATAATCCTAATTAGGTGAACCATTTTGACAGTATTACTCCAATCATATAGTATTGAACAAATTATACAGGTAATTACTTTGTATAAAATATTGCAATACCATAACTGTGGGAATGTTATTTTAGTGCTGTTAAATTTTGTACTATTTTCATTGTTTTTCTAACTTTGACCATGCAGCATGTTCAACTGTGTAGTTTATGTATCTGAATATTTAAGTATTGGTAAAAAATTAAGGCAATCAAGTTCTGAATTATAAATGTGAGAATTTCTTTTGCCTATTTTGGAAAAAATTCAAGTTGAGCTTGCTTTTTATTGGCACAGTGTTCACTTGGCAAGAAGATTACTGCAGCTAGAAAAGCAAAACTCGTTGCTTGTAAAAGATCTGGAACATCAGAAGGAACAAGTAACACAGATTTCAGAAGAGGTAAATCATTATTACACAAAAATTCAAATCTGTTGAAACAGTGCAGAACAGCTGTTCATAAAATGAAATCTCTTCTAAACAGTGTTTATTATCTATTTGATGTAAAAAAATGGCCTCATAGTTCACCAAAATGCCATGATTGAAGTTTTCAAAGAAGTTTATATTGTGTGTTGCAACTAATATTGAAAGAAGGATTACTTTAGAGGCTAAACAAGAATGTGAGCRAGACAGATAACATTTTGATTTCTGAACAGAAGAATAGTCAGCCAAGCTAGTTTGTTCTATTTTATACTTAATTGTTCTATGAATGCATTTCTTTTTACACAACTAGTCTCTTAAATCACATTTGAAAATATTTAACAAATCTCGGATTGAAATGTGCCAGAATTAGGGCAAACTAATTTTTTAATTGTTTTTTTAGATTGTCTTTTATTTTTTCTCATAGGAGCCAAAGGACAAGTAGGTTTGCTATTAGAAATTGCCACCATATGGAACTTGTAGGCTTACTATTTCAGAAATGTGGTTAGAAGTTTGATTTTTAAAGTGACATTAATTACAAATTAGAATTACTACACCCAGGTACTTCACAGAGTGCAAATACTTTAATTTCTACATATTTTTAAATGATATAATTCTTACAAAATTTATATGTATATATATGATTATATAGATTATTTCAGTGAAAGATACATGAACAGTGAACAGGTTTTTTTTAACCAATACTACACTTCGTTATGTATTTTTAGGTATATCATAGTAATTTTTGTTTGACTAAAACATACTCTGTCAGGTTTTTACTTGAAGACATCAGGGAATTGGTGAATCCATTGTTATGCTTGGTATTTTTCCAGATCACTATGTGTTAAGTCTTTCTGGGTTTCACTTCAATGCATTCCTTACCCACAGTAGTTTTACATTTGCATCTAGATCACTGATGAAAGATTCAGTATCAGTGACCTTAGTTCAAATTCCTGYAGAGTTCCACTGAAACATCTTCAACTCATTTTTATCTTGCCATTAAATTCTTGATGTTTTATCATGTAATTGTGTCATTTAAATCAGAATGTAATCCAGTACAAAGTTAAACATTTTTAATATGCAGTTCTTAAACTTCTCTTTGCTGTCTTTGCATCATTTTTACTCCAAGCTGTTGTCTGTCTTGATTTTTTTTTTAAGAATGAACAGAGATCCTGTAGACTACAGCATGCTGAGATARCCCATTATTATTCTTTTGACTGATAGTTTGTTCAGTCATCTAGATGAAATCTAGAACATACATAARCTGATGGAAAAGTGGTTGTATCAGCTTTTCTTCTGAACTTGGATCAAATACTGCGGTTTAAGTGCAGTATTTATAATACAACTTCTTCAGCTTTTTAAAGGAGGGATGAAAAGACCACAGTAAGACCACAAAGAGGGCCATTGACTCTACCATTTTTTTTAAACAATGGAAGCTGTTATATTAAAACTTCTGAAAATGCAGATTAGGGAGGTGTAGAGAGTGGTAGCATTATTGCAGGGAAAATAGCACATAATTAGAACRGAAAAATGAGAAGATAATGTACTAATTATTATTTTGAAGTTCCTTTTTTGTGTGTGTAATAATAGGTTAAGAGTTCATATTATTATGCAGTTGGTAAAAATCAAGAATATCCAATAATAATTCAATAATAATCAAGTAGTTGTGCTTTATAAATTATAAAATTAATAGTGGTAATACCTTTTTTTTTTGCAGCTTGACAGAGCAAATTCTTTGTTGAACCAAGCACAACAGCCATACAAATACCTCATTGAAACTGTGCAACAGAGAGATTCTCAAATAAGTCTACAGCAAGAACATATTAAACAACTTGAAAAAGAYGTTGGGTAATTAAAAACACTGATTTTTGTTTTACTTTCTCATAAACTGAAGGTTAAATCACTTTTATTTTTATCATTAGGAAAAAAAAAGCTATTGGCCACAAAGTTGAGATGTTARCATCTCATCATTGACCAGCCTTATGCTGGAATTGTAGCATTTTTGATTTCTCTCATAATGTCAGAAAGGGGGTTTGAAAAAGTAGCTATGGCAGTCAGGTTTAAAGTGAGTTTGGACTTGAGAAGAACTCTCATGAGGTGGAAAAGAGTTTAGAAGAGTGAAAGGAAGGAATGACACACCAGTTGTAAAACAGTAAAAATAAAGAAATAAAGTCAAAGAAAAATAATACAGTAATCCACCAGCACAGGGTATTTCAGGCATAATTAGAGCATATGCTCTAGTGAAGACTTTCTGATTTGCTGCTGTATCCATCTATCAGACCTCTCTGATCAGCATTATACAGCTTTAAAAATTATGTTCAACATCTGATTCCCAGGTAAGCTGTTAGGCAATAATATGTCCCTTGATTTTCAAGGAAGTCGGCAGCCGAGTCCCGCTGCTCTACAGAAGAATTAGCATTTTAAGTATGAGGTGTTTATGTGGTGTCCTGGTTTAGAAAGAGGGAACTGTAACTATTGGGAGGCATTAATGTGATTCTGTTATAAAGCAATTACATKAAAAATACAAGGTTTTCTAACTAATCTACTGAAGCAATTGAAATAGAAAAACTAGGGTTCTCCCTAGCCAATACTTAATCCTAAATACTATCTTATATATGCATCTCTTTGGAGTGTTTTGATGGTTTGGGATTTGTTATGCCTTGTATTGTCCAAGTAAATCTATACATAAATCAGTAAGTTTATAAATAAACTGAAGTATTCATTCAGATTTCCTGACAATATATCTTTCACTGGTCTTTTATTCAGTAAGAATAGATCTTTTTTTTAATTCCAGAATAAAGTGTTTTTAATACTTTCCTAGACTGTTTACATTATAAGAAACACTTCAAAGATAAATTATASTTTTCCAGGAAATGAAAAATCACAGTGTTCTCTGTATACAGTGTCTTACTTTCCAATTGTAAAAAATACCATGAAAGAATTGGTCACTAGCAAATTAAATTTTAGATTATGGTAATAATAATGGAATGATTTTGTTAATCACCAAGTAGTCCAAAAGTCATTCTAAAGGAAGAAACAAAGGGAGTAACTAGGTGAGGTCATTTCTGAAAGTGTATGTTTCATGCTTYAAAATATGAAAGAACTTAAAAGCGTTATTAACACTGATTCTCTTGAATGAAATGGCTCATTGCCAGTAATCTGTATGGCCAGATACTCTGTTCTCTTATTCTATTCAGAAATTTACCCTATAAATTAAGCTACCTAAATTAGAGACTTAGGTCAACTTTCCTTAGGAGTTCGGGGAGGAAGTGCTATCTCCAAARTGCAATTCAGATTTTGGGTGGGGTGAGTCATTTCCTAGAGATGCCTGATACTYTCCAGTAACTGTAAAAGAAATTTTTTGCATAATTAAGTCCCTCAGGTTAAGAAGGAAAATGGATCTGTCCCACAGTGTGAGCATTCATGGTAAACATACCAGCAGTACACTACTGTGGAGAMCTGGGGTGTGCTTGCCACAGTCTGTGTTTCTGTAAATGAAAGTGTGGTCAGACAAAAAATATTGTAACAAATAAAATAACACTTACTTTGCACATCAAATATTTTGATAAGAGGTTTTTTCCTGTAGTTTCCAATATTCCTTGTAAACTAAAAATAGCTTTCACTCCTCTATCACAAGTTGGCCTAGTTTCACAGGCCAGAGAAAGTCTTGGGAATAGCCAAATTTCTTAGGACTTCTGGTGCACATTAATAGTCCTTGATTTTGCTATTCATAACTCCACATTTAAAACAAAGGTCCTGAATTGTTAGCTGGTATTCCCTGGCACACACAAGAAATCATAATCTGGGATAAAATTGATAATGTTGGTGCTTTGCTTGCCCACAAGTGAGAGAAAGGTTAGAGGAAAGGATTTCTAACCAGAGTACCATTATATACAAGAAAATTTTGTTGTGAGGATAACGTTTTGGAATCTACTGATGACAGTTTTAAATTAAAATATCCCTTAGGTGATTTCAGATTACTCCTAGCTATTCCACAATTGAATCAGAATGGGATTTAAGTAAATTAATGATAATCCCTACCAAATATATGCCAAGAGAAGCTCTGCTGGATCAAAAGATTTAGCCCACTATTCCTATCCCTCTTAGATTATTAAACAGCATTTTGTTGGTTTGTGGAATATTTTTGAGAGGATGAGTTCAGAGAATTAATGGTCCTCAAGGGGAGCCCTAAATTCTGCAGATAATGTTGGTGCTATTAGAAAAGTATTAGTGAATATACACTTAACGTGGTTTATGAAGCGTGGTTTCTCTGTATCTCAGAGCTGAGGGAGAATTTTCATATTTGTAAAACCATTTCAAAATGAAATTGTTCTTTCAATCATTACCTATAATTAGTAGTTAATACTGCAATTCTGCAGCAGTCTCTAAATTCAGGTTTGATTTGTGCTACAGTTAACACAAGCTACACTATTTTTTCAAATTTTAATTACAATAATGCATTAGCTTTATTTTAAAACAGAATTTCACAAAAACCAGCTAAAAGAAAAATAGTGTTTGAATTGTTGTTTTCAGACATACCTTTAAAAATACTGTTTTGTTTTTTTTTTTTTTTAATCTCATATTTGAGTACCAGACTGGAGACAAATTAATATAGTGTTGATATGCCTGCACCCTGAGAATCATAACTGGAATACTTAATTAATCCTTACAGCTGCTGTATGCTTGATCCTAATTTTCCTTCCTTCTTGTTTAGTGTGCAGATTCTATGTTGGAATAGCATTCTTTTTGTGTTGTGTTTTTATCTCATCTGCTCATCAAGAAAAATGGTTCTGTATTATGTAAATCATGGATTCCCCAAGCAGAGCAGTCACATCTGCGTTATCAGTGTCACTGTTCTCTTTCACCTCCCACTTGAGTGCGGAGGGATCAGCAAGGACTTATTTGCAAGTGAATTTACTTTTTTAGTCTTAATCCATAATTGCCTTCTGTACTCAGTGATCATGTCCAATAACCTTTTCAGAACATATTCCTGAGATGATTAAGTTCCAGCAGATTTCCCAGGATGATGAGTCAGTACTTTCTTGCAACCATATAAATGTTTTGCAGCAACCTGCAGCACTTTGTATTTCTATGTCTATTGAGAATTTTTTTGATTGCTACTGGATGCAGGTTTGACTCTGTGATGAAATAGGCTGTTCTTGAATTGGCATAAGAAGAAGACAAATGCAAGGAAGGCTATCTATGACAGAAATCTTATTTTGGATGTTCTTGGGCCTTATCTTCATCAATTTTTCACAGAATGGCCCAAAATCACTTATACAGTGGTCCATTAACAGGTAACAGATATATTCAGGATTCTCCACACTCATAATTCTATTAAAGTGTCATTTCTGACAGCTGTTTTTGCTGTAAGAGGAATGGTAAATATTCATGCAGATCATTTTGATGTAATATTTTTGACAAGTCCTGCAGATCCATCTAAGTTTCCTTCCAGCATGGTCTTCAAAGTTCACTTTATCTAGAGCAACTTACCTGCCTTCATCCTTAGAGCTAAGGCTGGTCTGTCGGCCTTTCAGACCTTCATATCAAAATATCTTTGCAGTGGAAGGACTGTTCAAGTGCTGCTCAGGGTTGTCTGTGTCAACAGCTGTCAGACTGAATCATAGAATGGTTTGGATTGGAAGGGACCTTTAAAGACCATCTAATTCYACCCACGTGCCATGAGTAAGAACAACTGCCACTAGACCAGGTTGCTCAAAGCCCCATCCAACTTGTCACTGAAAGGAGAAGTASAGTCAGTACTTCTGGTACCTCTGGTAATTCTTGAGGAGGAGAGGTTGTTGAGCAGTAATGGAGGCTCTGTCAGGTCAGGGGTTGCCCACATACAGTGTTYACTGCCACTCTCATTCCCATCCCCTTAGAATTCTCCCAGGCAAGCCATGGGCTGTCCTGGCACTTGGCCTTGAAGAGAACTTGGCTCTGGGAGCAGAACACTTTGTATTCTTGTGAGCTGAGCCAWGTACCTGCAGATATGTTTCAGATACAAAACCTCTGGTCTTGAGTGACAGGGCATCTGCAGGATGAATTTATAGGTGATCTGCATATCTCAAAATACTCTATTAAGTAACTTCTTATTTATATTAGACCACATAGCACTCTCATTAATAAAAGTAAATAGTGATGGTTAGTAAGAGCAGTGCTATCTGTGAGGATGACTCCTTGCTGCTATAAAGAAATGTCTCCAGCATACAGTTCTTCAGCTAGAAATGAAAACATCCCATTTAACACTCCTCTTGAAAAAAAATGCTTATAACTATGTCATGCTGTGGGAAAACAAATCTCTGAGTTTCATTCTTATGTGTGTAGTGAAGTAATTGTAGTTTTGGTACATAATTTTCTGCTAAAAACATCTAAGTTATAAATAACTGGAGACATTAAAGGACTTCATTCATAAAGAAAGGGTATTTATTTTAAATGCAGTTACTCAAWTTTCTCAGTACCAATGGCTGGTTTTAAAAGAGGCTCACTTACCCAAAATCACTTCTCAAAAGCCTTAACTGTGTGGCAAATCTAGAAGCCATATAAGGATTTTGCACACTAAGAAGCTTTGTACTGAAATGTTCCTTACCTAAACATTTTGGGTTCTCTAATTGCCGTSCAAACATGAGGCTCAGCATAGAGTATTAGAGGAGCTTTTCCCATCAAAGAATGGGCAGTGAGCTTTTTATGAGAGCATTACCATTCTGTGAAATATGCATCATCTATTCCAACAGCACTGCAGCTTACCTGAGAAATGCTCCAAGCAAAATTTTTACATTTTCTGACCTGTAAAGCAACTTTTAAAAAATGGTTTGGGTTTTTTTTTTAAACAATTTGAAAAAGTAATTTTAATTTGSACACTTCATGGATATGCTTTTAAGCCTCCTGAAGCATTCCAATTAAAATCATTAAAATTGTTTTTTAACTCTCCTAAATCCATTTAAAAATTGAGCTGTGGATGTTTAGCTGCACAGTGAGAGATCACTGATTTGTCAGGTATTCTCTCTTGTAAAGAACTTTTATTTGCAAAACGTCTTATACCTCCCTAACTGTGACTTAAGAACAAAATTTGAYTTAGACTAGTAATTAACTGCCTGCTTTGAGCTATTCATCTGTAATTTGCAGACAAGGGGTAGTTTCACAATATGGCTATATTAGATACTTGTTTTTTTGTACAAAACCTTTATGTATACYATTCATATCTGAATATAAAATACAAAAAAATAATTCAGTGTTGGACTATTCAACTTCATGCTGTAAGAGCAAATTAACAGAAAGGCACAATCCTTATTTCTTACAGCATCTGGAAAAAGAAACCTACTTTTTTTTTTTTTTCAAACTGAATAGAAGTAGCAATAAAATCCAGTATTATATAAACCCATATTTATTTTGTGTGTCCAACATAAACATATTATTCAGAATATCTAMTTATAGAAGCTTCTGAACAGGATAATAACTAGTATATTTACACYGAAGCATTGAGATGGTTTAGTTGCCCAAACTTAAGAGAGTTTATAAAGCTGAAACTGGGAAATGTTAGTCTCCATTCTCCAGAAAAATCATGTCACCTAAAAATGTCTGACTTACGATATCCAAGCTAACTTGGCTTTAGATCCTGAGTGAAGCAAGACAAAACAAGCCAGTGGTTGCTATGAGCAATCTCTATGTATATGACAAGTGTATTTTATGGTAAGCCCTGCATTCCTGGTACCTGGATTCATACCTGGCTAGGCTTTAAAARCATGATGGAATGAAACTGGATGTCCTCCCAGACATTTTGGTTTCTTCTGGAAAAGCACACAGAAAAAGCAGGACCTGCACTGCTTTTCAGTTAGTTCTSTAACCTTTTTGGGGGCACAATTGTATGACATCTCAAAAAGGACACCTTCTTCAAACTCAGGGTGAGTGATCAGGACTGTGGAGCACTGTCATCTTTTTAGATGAAAGTTGCAGCCCTTGAGTTCCAGTGTGAGAAGCTGGTTTGCCTAGACTGGTAGATGGTGGTTTCAGAATCATAGCAAGACACTTGAGCCATTCCATCACCAAACGGAGCACTCATCCTTGCCTTCAGCTACAGGTCTCCACTGTACAGGGTAATTCAATTTCCTTTGGTGATCCATGTGAAAGATAACCTTTAGAAAGATTCCAGCATCCATCCAGATCAGTGAAGGGACCTTCTTACGTGGTGACAWATTGTCTAGTACCAACAAAAAGACTAGGCTACCAGCATGTGGTGAGGGAAGGGTGATCCTCTAACAACAGTTTTCACTTAGGTCAACTGAAACAAATTGTAAAGCTGCTCTCTGATTTGTTACACCACYAGTTAAAACTAGACTAGGTTAAACTACTCTTTGATGTAAGTGTAAGGTAGGGTAAAGCTAGAACCTCTTTGCTGATATCTAAGATGCTGGTCCAGAAGATTTTAAAACCAGGGACTGAAATTATCAGTCTTCATCCCTGGATAGAGCTTTTGAAAGTATTGCTGWTTCATATATTATCATTCTGTCTGGTAACTGCTCTCTTGCTCTGTTAAATGTGTATATGCCTCTTGCAGTATTCATTCAGAAGTACATGAATTAACCCCTTCCATCTGCAAYGTTGAAAAAGCACAAGTATTGCAAAACTACCAAATCTAAAGTCTGCACATGCTTTGGTAATTCTATATTAATATGTATGACAGAAAATACATCAAGTACTACTTAATTATGTAGTAGTTTGTGTSCTATATTTGACTATAAACAAAGAAAATTAGAACTGCTCTACATGGATCATTCACCTCAGATTGTTTTAGAAGGTATAGCTAATATAAGTAGAATAGGTTCTCTTCTGTAGAAGAAATTGAACCTCAAACATTAACTTCTGTTTCAGTCATGAAGACTGATGTTGCTGCTTATTCAGYGCACTACTTAAGTCATAGAGAAAATTGTATTATTGCTTCTCTAATAAGTTTGTGAGCCTTTAGAAAGRTTAGTTTATGTTCTTAGGAAATACAGAAATCCAGGAAAAAGTGACATGTAAGTTACAACACATTAACCCAAGAAAAAGAAGTACAGCAATTTCATCATGATTAAAAATATGACTGAAAATAAAAGTCTTGAAAATATTAAAATATTTTTATAGCTTTTCATAAATGTTAATACTTTCCTTTTAAATACTGAAACAACTGAGTCATTTGGCAAAAGCATACATTTTTTTTCTGAGAATTAATGAATGCCTAGAAGTAGTTGACAGTCATAATTTACAACACAGGGCTTGCAAGGAACTGCCAGAAAATCTCTGGGGCAAAGGATGATATTGCTTATTTGAAACAAGCAGATGATACATGGCCAATTAAAGATTGATTTATTTTGTTGGTCATTTTTGGGTCAAATACTGGAAATATTAAATAATTTGTGTTTGCAACATACGTAATTGCTCCATTTATAAAATTTTAATACATTTACTTTTGAACTCCTGACCTGTACTCAGTATTACATCTTTGCGTTCCATATGCAGAATTGCATTTTTCMCAGTTGTTGATTTATATTACAGTTTATATTGTACAACCTGTTTAGTTAAGTCATGATAATGGCATATATTACATGTCTTCCAAGAAAATCTCTGTGGCTGTTCTAACAAACTAGATTATATGGTGGTGTTATGCATGCATTAGTCTGAAGTTAAATGTTAGAAATTGATGTTGGGACTAAATATGAAAATATATGTAGTTATAATAGAACTGCTGCCTGGAATCCCAGTGTGTATGCTAAACATTTCAAATGTTCATATTCTATAACTGAAAACAAAGAAGGATTAAAGTTAAACTTTACATTCTGCTATAAAGGCATGCCTTCATGCTAAGATAGTTTTCATACTTGGTTCATAGGACAGGCTTGATCCCATGCATTATCCTCGAATAAAAAAAAAAATAAAAGAAGAAAAAATACGTTTACAATTTTTATAGAAACTATCCAGCTAAAATGCATGTTTTTCTTCCTTGTATTTGCTATATTCTGAATTTTAAATACAGTAGTATAAAAMGAGTTCATAGTGAGAACAGAGTGCTACTGCTAGTGAAAAATACAACAAAGAAATCCACATTTTGATACAGAAGTGACGATAGAAGAAGTCTTACTTTGCTTATAAAATAAGCTTATTTTGCCTAGAAGAAACTGAAATATAATAATAGAAGACTCTGATCATTTAAATTACCCTTCAGAGACAGAAAAAATAAAAGGCTTATGAAGGCTTTAAGTAGTTTTTCTTTTTGACTAAAACAAGGTTTTGTATGTATTGGTACATTTGGGTCCATTTATAAAAATTTCAGTGCTTGAATATAGAGAAGGATCATTTGATACAATTACTTGAGCAGATTTTTATTGTTGCCAGTATTTAGCTTTAGAAAATGMGTGTTTCAGCCAGAATACAAGATTAAAAGAGATTATCTGTTGCTATTACTGCATTTCCTATCCTCTTTTTACCAGTCTTTTAAATAAAGAAAAGACAGCTTTGCTGCGTGTCAAGAATCAAATGGCAGCAGATTTGGAGAGACTTCTAAATGACCGTGAGGTAATCTTCCTTTTTTAATATTACTACCATAAGTGCACTTTTTCCCTACTGGCCCTTAAACCATGGAGAAAACAATGGTTTACTTTGGTTTGATTTGTTGGGGTTTTTTTTGTCTTTTTGTGGTGTTTTCAGGAACACAGGTGATTGTGTTTGTCGGATACTGGGGAGGGTCTCAGTTGTACTCTCAGTTGTTAAACTTTCTCTGATGATGTAGTGCCTCTGTTCTTTCTTTTCTTTTGCCWTGCAAAGTGTTTGGCAACTGCAAGCATTTAACAAGTATCTAGATAAAGACAATGAAATTGATACACATGTAATCTGCAATGTCTACACAGTGTGCCCCAGGATCTCTCCATGCTCCCCAGTCTGTGCAGCCAAACACTGGATCAAAGTATCGTGCAATTCAATTCCAATACATTATTTTCAATTTCTTTTCAACTCCAAAATAGGGGGTAGGGAAAGGAAGCAAGACTATTGTTACCCAGATTTCATTCAGAGAAGAGTTGGGTACATTTTTATGTACTTACCTGAGTTTCATCTGGGCAAGGATCAGGGTACTACTGGACTGGAATACACTCTCAYATCTAAAAGTGTGAAAAGTTGTGCCATTCAGGGAACCCTAAAGGCTTTTGTCAAGATTTTTATCTAAGCAATCTTAAGAGACTAATAGGTCATGGCATATGAGAGAAAATCTGCAGATTCAATGTCTGAAACAAAGGATGAAAATAAATGAAGTTTACTGTGGGAATCTGAGAATGTCARTAGTACGATAGAATTTTCTGAAGCTAAGGAGTACTGAAGACATAAACCCAAAAGCTGAAAAGCTGATCTGAGCAGCTATTAAATCATCTCCCAGAGCTGCTGAATGATTTGGCAAGGATTTGCAGAGAAAAAAACAACATTAACAAATCAAGAATTATGAATATGAGGAAAAGCAAAGCAAGTTATATATACAGAGTGATGGGACCTAACCACCCAGTTACCTGTTCAGAAAGTGATCATAGAGTTATATCAATAGTTCTTTGACAACATCTTGCAGTTCTCTTACTAGTAAGAGAAAAGATGGGGATATTCCTTTCAAGGAAGCTACAGCTCCCCTAAATTATCCTGTCAGAGATTGGATTATCACTCATTTTAATACATTATTTTCATAGAAAACTGACTATCCATGCACCTCCTGAAGTCTCATTCTTCCTCCAAAATTGTTTTCCCTCATTTCCTTTTCATTGCATTCATCGAGTTCCCTTCAGTAAACAAAACTCCACGTGATGAGTTGGTCTAAACTAGTTTGTCTCTCCCAAGCACTTAAAAAATACTTTTTGTTAGAACCAAAACAAAACAATTTCACTGACAGCTGAGTCCAAGTGAGCCTCAGCTTAAATGAAAACTACTAATTTTGTTTGCTGAGTTCCAACYCAAACTAATCTATGATTTAAAGATTTCTGGATAGTTTATAAACATTACCATTATATTCATGCTTTATCATAGCCTTATATTAATGATTTGAAAAATACTCTGAGGAAACATGACTTTATTGTATAAACATGTAGTGTTTTTTCCAATATTGTAGGCCCTTGGCCTAATTTCAGATTCATTTCTTTCAAAATTTCCTGTTCCTACTCCTTCTTTCCCAAGCAGGAGTGCTGCCAACTAGTTGTGCTCACAAAGTAGTCACACCTTGGGTGCCTAGTTTTAGTAGTGTCATATCAATGATCATGCATTGCAGCTGATTAAAAACAGTAGAAAATGATAAAAGAAAAATTTAGCAATGTTTTCTAAGAAAACTATAAAATTTCTAACTGAAAGCTGTACAASATTGTTTGCATTCAGACATTAGCCCCTGTAATATACCCTCATAAACTATTCCTGATATGGAGYAGTTTGCTTCTTTGTGCCATTTCACTATTTTAAAATTTTTAACCCTGTCAAACGAGCAAGGAAGGCTGGTGGACACAGGCTTGATTGAAAAAGAAAAGCAAATGCTTGAGTCTGCAACAAACTTTTTCAATGTTCCTCATGCCGTGAATGTTAAAAAATTTAATAAATATTTCCAAAATCATTACTATTTTCTCAAATTTCTTTTTAYATCCATTAAAAATAGGACATATAAGTCATACTGGTTTTGTCAAACAGTGATAGTGCTTTTTAAAGATGCTTCTGCAGAAAAGGGTATAAATACTGAGAAAAAACTTTAGAAGTTGTATTGTTGAGGGAAGAAGACTATGAAATGCCACTGCAACACACAAAGCCTCCTAAGGAACAAAAAGTAAGCTAAAAAATTGTTTCAGGAAAATGAATGAAAAGAACAAGTAGCTTTTGTGTTTGTGTGTAAGTTTAACTTGTGTCACTTCTCTTTATTCCTAAYGCAGCCTTTTATTTTTTGCTTCTAATGCAAACTTCTTCCAGTAGTCTTACAGTTTATGAATTTCTCTAAAAGGCAATCATCTCATATATTGAAATCTTCGTGGAGGATAGTGAAATAGTCTTTAACTATACTTCTTTGCCATCTTAATAAAATATTTAAATTTGCAGTAACATCATAATTTTCCAGTAATTCTCCTTGATGGTAGAAATAAAKAATAYAAATTTCCTCTCTTCRGGTTGGTAAAGAGTTAACTCCTTTAAACAGTGACATGCAACCTGTAAATACAGATTCATACTATTTGGAAAAAAAAAAGATGAGTTATGGGTTTATGTGTTTGGTATGTGCTATCATGTAACAGGGTTACTATCAGCCTTGTTTAGTCATTGCATATACTAAACTGTCATGTCTTGTTAGGAATTACCTTGTTGCCCTCATGTTTGCAAGTAGAAACATTAGAATTCTTGAATAGATAAACCAAAGATATCCATAGTTAAGATAAAATGAAGCTTAGGTATGTTAAAARTACAAGTGAAGTGCTAAAAGTACAAGCAAAATGCCAAAAAAATGTTAATGCTGTCTTCCAGTGATGCGTTTCAATGAGTGTACAGTTTTGTCTTAAGGTATTCCAGCCTGTGTGGTCTCAGACTGTATTAACTCTTTTTAATGGAATGTTAAGAGTTTGAGGGGTTGGGAGTTTTTTTTTTTTACTTCTATCTGTTTGTGATATCAGCTAGATTCATAATGCTGCTTTGGAGGGAATTAAAGCATTTTATATACTTTTTAAATAAAGTACTTACAATCATGATTAATCTCTTTTCACAGATTTTAATTTTAGAAGAAGAAAGTTGGAAATTATACTTTGAATCTTGGAAGAATTTCTGTAGGATTCTTACATGAGCTCTTTTATTACAGGAAAAAATTACACTAAATGTTAATGTAATAAAATAGTTCATTATTTCAAATTATGTAGACATCTAATTTGATGATGATTMTTATATTTTGCTGTACGAAATCAAAGTGAAGTCTAGTTATTTGGTTATGCAAAGCCTTAAAAGCTTCTGTCCACCCATGAAGGAGAAAAAGAAAGGTTGGGGTTTTTTTAGACTGTATTCTTGRCCCAAATTCTGACTATTTCTTGGCCTGTTGCTTCTTTTTTTTTTGTCTGAATTAATTAGTAAATKAATGTGGAAAACTTTTTAATGTAGTTTTTCATTTAGATCTCTGAGAATTGGGAGGTAGGATAAAATTTCTTGCATTCTTCATGTGGTTAAGCGCAAACTTTCCTTTTAGAGGGAGTTAAGTGGCATTACCATGAATGTTCAGTGTCTAGGATGATGCTGAGAGCATGTTGTTGGAGGTTCATAATTAACACTTCCCAGTGCCCCATCYTCTCTGAGCTCTCAGAATGGTCTGGGGTGCACACTATTCTGATGCCACTTGTAAACCCCTTAGTGCGAGAAGCAAATTAAAACAGCCAAATTTTGCAGATAATTTTAGAATAAGATATTTTGTATGTTTTTTCAAGATATTATTATTTAATTCTTTTCCAGATCCATCAGAAGAGCRTAAAACATTGTTTGGAGGAACAATGGGGTCTCCCATTAATTACCTTCCAGTAAACAGTGTGGGGCTTTTTTTAAAAAAAAAAATATTTCAAATCTCCAGAGTAATTTTTCTTTTCATTATTATTTGTAGTCTGTGTTCTCCTTTTAATCAACTGAACTTTACACTGTTGGCTCTTAAATGGAATAACCAGACCATATCAACCCCAACTTATAGTTTTGATTCTTCCCACTAACTAATTAACTGCATGACTTGTCTCCATATTTGGAACTTGCTGGCCACGTGTCTTTGWATAGGCAGAGAAGGATGAGTAAGGAAAGCATTCCTTCAAAGCATAAATCCAGATGAAATTATACATCATGCATGAGTCGACCCAGTTGCTCTAACACTGCCTTCCTCTTTGCTCCTGATTCTCCTCCTTTCTCCTCCTGTTGCACCAGCTCTGACACATTTCTAATGCTGTGGTAGGACCATTCAAATCACTAAAGAGAAACCTAACCTGGCCAAAAAAATACCCCTACAAAAGTATATTGCTGTCTCTTAAGTCAGAAGTTTGAATTACCTTTGGAGAGAGTCCAGCAAAGAAAAAAGCAAGTAAAATTACTTATATGTCAATATTACATATAAAGAGGTGATAAAGAGGGCATTTTGTGTCCAAAACTGTAGCGTATAGAACACCAGCTTCTGTGCCATCCTTTATCTACATCCAGACTTTATCCTTTTGGGCATATAACRGGAATCTATGACTTAAAGGCACTGAAGTGCAGTTCTCTGTTAAGCTGAAATTAAGTAGGATGAATGCACTCAATCTTTTTTTGATGAAGCTCATGATGCATGATTCCTTTTATCTAGTTTGTTGGTTTGGCATTTTTCATTCCAACATTCAGTCTTGGCTAAAAGAAATATTTACCATGAGCTCTGTGATCTTGGCAATTCCATTGCCTTTCATGCTTAAAGCAGTTGTTAGTATTTTGTAACATCAGAAGTGCAATTCTAGACTTTATCCATTGGCTTTCAAACTTCAGATGAAAATTTGGAAGGGCAGTCTGTCAGCACTCAGATGTTTGGCAAGAAG